TTTTTATTTTAGTTAAATTTAAATGTGGAAATAAATAATTGCTTCTTGACCGTAATAGTTGGACATGCCATTTTTGCGGGTCCAGTAGTTGGACATGATAAGGACCAAAAGTTGTAATTAATGTTGGCTTAATGCCTGTAAAGTTTTTGTCCAACTACTGGTGCTCAATGTTAAAAAGCAGAAGAAACACTCGATTTCGAGTAGTTCCTGAAATGCTATTGTTTATATTTTTTTTGATAAATTTTTGGCTTTGAAATTGAAAACTTGAATTGCATCCAAAAGCTAACACTTAGAAAGGGCATATATTATTTTTTTCATTTACATTGAAAACAGTTATAAAATTTTTTGTGTTACTGTCTATTCATTGCTTCCATTTTTTGCAATGTCCAAGTACTGGTGCTTTTACTTTAATTTTATAATATTGAAACCTTTACATATTCCTGTATAAAGGCCTCATACAATAATTTAAATCGATAGAAAGATAAAGGACGTAAAATTATATTCACAAAACAACAGTTTATATTAATTGTAATTTTAAACACTATTCATTAACATATGTGGACGTCCACATGAAAAGAGCCCATTTTGGCAATATTGGAGTTATTTATATGGGCGTATTCCTGGCAAAATTTGGAAAATTTTGAGTGGTCTTAGAACTTTATTGGTTAAAAATTCGCTGATTTACGAGATTTCAAAGTTTATAACGCCAAAAACCTCATTTCGAGAAAAACTGAATTAAAGATTGCGATACCAACTAATTGTTTTATCTCTGGTTCTTCTTGGAAGTTATTCAGATAAGAATTGTTTCTAGTTCAAAGCACTTTGAAGATAAAAAACCAACAGGTTTTAAATTTTTTAAATCATCCCCCCCTCTTAAATTTGAAAATACGAAAAATCGACAATGTGGGCCCTTTTCTAAAAAGGACAGTTTTTCTATTAAAAAACCATTGTTTACAAGATTTATGATGAGGTACAATTTTATTGTGTCATTTGAAGAAAAAGAATAGATATTAAACTTATTTAAAAATTGTTGACAGTCTCTATTATGAAAAAATTGACGCAATATCTAAATTTTCATTTCGACAATTACGAAAAAAATACTCTAACATCAATATCTCTGGTTCTTCTGAGAAGTTACTCCAGGGTGTCCACAAGTTTCAGTTTATCAATTTCCCTGACAATTTACTGACATTAAAATTACTTTCCCTGACAAAATTCTTTTTACAGGAAAATATGAATGTTTACGAAAAATGGGTAAAATTTATTAATTTGAATAATTTCTAAAAATTACAATTATAACCCTTCCTGAATTCAATTATTTTTTACAATTTTCAACTAAACTTCATCTCTGAATCAATTAATTTATATAATTTCCCAAAAGTTCTTCTAGAATTAAATTATTTAAATAACAAAATTTGATTTTTTATAATAATTGTAATTATATAAATATAATAGTTTTTCAATTTTGAATAATTTACATACAATTAAAATTTGGTAAAATCTTTTAAAAATAATTGAATTTTTGAAAAATATAAATAAAAATCATCAAATTTTTGAAGAATTTTAATTTTAAACAGGACCATGATTTCTCAAAAATTTTAATAACTCCAAAAAGTAAATTTTCATAAACTTTTATTCACATTAATAAATAGTGAAAATTAACGATCACTCCGAGTCAAGGAAAATAAAAATAAAAGAAATTCAATTCTTTTTACGTTTCGGCAGCACAGCTGTCCTCTTGAGAACGAGAAAAAGAAAATTAGAAAAATTAAAATTATAAATTAAGATAGGTACATCTTTGTCGCTACGATTACAATATTTTATTTTTATTCTCCTTGACTCGGAGTGATCGTTAATTTTCACTATTTATTAAAATACGACTGAGTGATAGAATCATCTCTACTCTTTTTATTCACATTGTTCGAAGATAATTAGATCTTAAAAAATTATTAACAATTCTAATAATTAGTTTTTAAAAATATTTTAATGTAATTTTTCGAAAATAATTGAATTTCTTAAAAAAATTGGTATAATTTAAAAAACTAATTCATTTTTCTTTAAATTTTAATTAAAAATTTTGAGCTTGATTGTATTGTTACATTCCGAGCGGAAAGCGAGGTTATTTTGAATTTTAATTATTATTTCTTTTATTTCGGAGGAATGGTAGGCTGATTAAGTCAAGTTGGTAAAGCTTGACCATTTATTTTTGGTATGGAGTCAAAAGTTCCAAAACAAAAGTTCCAATTCCGTAGGACCTAAATTATTATTTTCCCAAATGACATTTTTTCGAAAGTATTATTTTTCCAAAGGCCATTTTTACCAAAGTATTATTTTTTCAATAGTCCAAACATTGTTTTTTTTATTTTTCTAATTTCAAAGTGCAACTTTAAGTCAGGAAACGTTCAGTTGTTATTATCGTTGTTATTTTCATAAATTGTCATTCAACGTGTGCTCATTCCAAAATTATATTGTGAAATTAAAATTTTTTTTCAAATTAAAAAATAGTAAATAGTAAAATTATATTAAATTGCAAATTAGTGAAATTAAAAATTTTATTTAAACTATAAAATAGTGAACAGTGCAATTATATTAAATTGTACATTTTAATTATGGCAGAATTAATACAAGTCAAAAAAAAATTATTTACATATCGAAGGATTTCTGTATTACAAGCATTCAGATGGAAAAAATAATGTGAAATATTGAAGATGCTTAATTTTTTTAAACAACTCCAATACTTTTCACTTATTTAACAATTCAACACTTTTTATTTTGGAAATTTCACACTTTGGTAAATTTATATTTTCGACATTTTGGGCTTTGGAACTTTTGTACTGTAGAAAAATAAATTTTGGATCTTTTCATTTTGGAACTTTTTTCTTGGAATTTTTCGATTGGAACTTCCGTTTTGGAACTTTTGTACCCCAATCTTATTTTTATGTGAGTACGTTGTTTTCTATCGATCCTACGGGAGTCGTCTTATAATTATTTCAAATTTAATTGTTAGATAATTACCTTTTCTTTAGAACTTTAGGATATTTAATAAATTTAACTCAAAATTTATATGATTTTATATTTTAATGAAATATTTATTATCTTTGATTACAAGAAATGAGGTGTATAAATGTTATTGTGTTGAATGTTAATACAAATTGTTTAAAATTTAAAAGGTACTTACAATTACCTCTGTTCAGAGGGTAGATACAAGGATGAATTTTTTGATCAGGAATATAATTCCTAAAATCGTTGACACTGTGAGGTTTTGCAACTCTTAAAAAAGAACGGTTGGGACTTTGTCACAGTTTTCTAGTTCTTATTTTCCAAAAGGCACACACGTCACGTTTGCAATTTGTATATTTTGAAAATAGACTAAATACGACGGACAATTTAATTTTGAGAATACCGATTCACAAGTCTGGCGATAATGAATACTTGCTCAATATTATAGAGCACGAGTAAACTTTATACTGTTTGAAAGTGTAAGAATTACGGACAAAATTATGAATTCCAAAGGGTCAAGCTTAAAGATGAAGTTGTCACGACGCGAACGTAACGATGACTTTGTATCGAAATAAACTGACGGATGACAAAGGATTTGCATGGGGTTTTATAGTATCAAATCTTCCTTAGTGGGAGACAAAAGATCAAAGATCACCCCCATCTCTAAGCTTGATTTCTAGATCATCCCAAGAATTGAGTCACTTCTTGGAGCTTTGTGACCACCTGCATCACATATAGTATATCGCGAGTATCACTATTCCATGGGATAGTAAACACTCCCAGGAAGAAAACTAAGCTTGCATCTTCGCAATATACTTATGTGAGTCAAGTCCACTCATAATGCGTGTTATTTATAATTTATATATGTGTGCATCTTTATATCGAGTCTCATAGCTTCAGTTCTATGAAGAGTAAGATAATTACTTTGAATTTTGTAAACTATGAGGATCGATATAAAGATGAACTATTTTGAAATACATTCCATACTCTATGCAGCTGCAATATTATTCTTAGAAAGTAATGCATAGAGAACAGAAAATACATTTGTTTGTGATATTGAAATCATATTTGAATTTTGGGATCATAATATTAACTTTGAAACAAGAATATTGCGTGAGAAGTAATCAGCCAGTTAAATAATATTTCTTATTTAATTGTTGCTGTTCTGTATCAAAATATTGTAATTATATTTATTTAAAGGTTAATTTAATGTTTGTGAATTTGATAAAAGTAATAGTATTATTTCTCTAATATTTTTCTTATTAATTTTATATCTATTGTCTTTCTATTATTTCTATTTCAAACGCAATATCTGTTTTCTTAACACTTTTCATATGCGATCATCAACAATGATTCATCGCTAATGTCTTTAATTTCAAAACGGGAATTTTGTTACTGGGATGTAACAGTATTCTCCAAAGTGTTAAAAACAACTCTAAAATATTATTATTTTTATATGTATTTATTTGAATTTTTGGAAATATGTAATTGAAAATACTGATAACATTGAATTTTTAATAATTAGAAGCTAATATTTCAATTATTTTCAAAATTTGCAATTAAAAATCTTTAAAAACTGATTTTTAAAAATTGTAAATAAATACTTGAAATGTTTGGAAGAAAAGTCGAAAAAGTCGCAATTTTTTTGAATAAGTCGAAAAAGTTCTCAATTTTCTTAATTTCCCTGACAAAAATTATTTTCCTGACATTTCCTTGACTTTACTGACATGTGGTATTTTTTTTATTCTTATCTGAATAATTCAGATAAGAATTATTTACAGTCCAGGACACCTTAAAGATGAAAAATCAAGAGGTTTTAAATATTTTTATTTAAATTTTTAAAATTTTTAAAATACGGATTACTTTTGCGAATGACAGACAAAATGGGGCCTTTTCATTTTTTTAAAGAACCAATGAAGTCAAACAGTTGAATTATTATCGATAAATTAATGAAAACCGCATTTTTCGACTTGTCAAAACATGTAGATTGCTAATAAAAAATAAAAAAAAAGATTTTGCCCCAATTGCGATTATCTTGAAAACTAGAACCGACAATATGGGCCCTTTTCATGTAGACGTCCACATATAAACAAGTTTACCAATAATTAAACAGTTCTTCTCTAGATGTTGTGACCAATCTTCTCGGGTATGGACGCATCATGCAAGGACGTAATTTAAATGCCTCATCTCCAATCAGAAAGTATGGAATTGATGATTGGGTCCCTGGCAAACATTCAGGTTCAGGAAGAGGAAGCCTTTTCTCTTCTAATTCTTGTGCCAATCCAGTAGCACCAAAAACACTGGCATCGTTCAAGGAGCCTAAGCAATATTATAAATAAAATTTTTTATAAGTGCTAGATTAAAACCCTATTAAAAATAATCAGAAGTTTTTATATTTGGTCATGTAAATATGAGGAAAGAATATTACAAGTGTACAAACTTTTCCTCGTGTATCTAAAAGATACACGTGAAAATATAGTGATACCTCGTGAAAATATCTGGATGCTATAAAGTGTTACGCGCCATGTTAAGTAAATGGCGCGTAACACCTTATAGCATCCAGGCCCTTATTATGGTTTCGAGAAGGACAAATGATTCTCTACAATAATTGTAATAATGTCTTTAACTAACTTACCATAATCGCCAACATCAATCCACGTAAAGCGATAATGGGCATCACATATGGCCATGAGTACGAAACTGTAGTACTTTTTGTAATTGAAAAAGGCACTTCCTGAATTTGGAGGCTTGGTAATTCTGATGTGTTTACCATCTATTGATCCTAAGCAATGAGGAAAATTACACTTTTTCTCATAATCGATCGCAATTTCTTTCCAATCATCAACACTTTTTTCCGGAAGATATACAGGAGAAAGTATGTCCCAAATATCTTGGCAAACATCGCTTAAAATACCATAGACGGTTGACTTTCCGATGTAATAAAGTTTGCACAAAGTTTCGATGCTATCGCCGTGTCCCAGAAAGCTGTAAATGAGATATGTTTTGTGACGGAGTGAATCGTCACGCCATCTCTGAATAATTTCCCCCCGACCGGTGCTGAGTGCGGACCGCGGTAATGTAGGTGCCGAGCTGCCAAGTGACCGACTAGTAGAAAAGAAAGTGTGTCGCTTGGCAAGTTAGTTCGGTAGTGCGAGGTCAGGACCAGCGAGTAGGTGAGAGAGAGATAGGAGGAGTGCCAAGAGAAGCGGAAAGAGAGAGAAGGAAGCTAGGAAGAAGACGAGGCAACAGGTGAAAGAAAGCGTCGGTGTCTTGACAATACTTTTGCCACCATTATCGCTTTAGCACGTGCTGAACTACTTTTGTCGTGCTTCGTATTAGAGAAACGTACGCGAGTAATTTCTTTCTTTTTGTATAAAAGGTGAGAATATTTTGAGAAAGTGGTTGAGAGTAATTTGAAATTTGTAGAGATTTAGAGCGGAATACTAAGTGTTGTGATTAATTCTGAAAAATAGGTGTAGATTAAAAATAAAGAGATTATTTTTGTGAAGTGAAATTAGTTGGAGTTCACTTTTGTTCCGCTGAGACCTTCCCTTACAACACCCTAGAGCGTCGCCAGGAGCCGAGTTTCACCGGGTGCTGAACTACAAATCATCGTGGGTAAGTCCCACCAATATTGTGCCAGTCTTGGTCCAGTCGTGTCCCAGCGTTGGCGTTTCTGTCGTCATTTTCTCGGACAGAATTCCCTCATGAGAGTGAGAGTGTCTCAGAGGTTTTGCTAGCCGTTTTGATTGTTGTTCATGTAATTGTGTCTAAAGTTTATTAATTAATCTTAAAATTAATTGGCGCCTGATGGCGAATTTTTAAATAATATAAAAATCCCATAGAGTTAAAATTAAGCGTCAAGTTTCTTGATGTTACAGAAAATTCTTTATCAATATTTCTTTATTAAATTAGAATTAACGTCATAGTTTATATTTTCTAGTGGAAATAAAAATACGATAATTACAATATTAGTCAAGTAAGCGAAATTATGAAGCTGAAACTTACTGTAAAGTTATTGCAAATCTCAATTGTGGTGGTAAAGGCTCTCTAACTGCAGAAGATCTTTCTAGTTTGGTTTTCAAAATTTCATATAGTTTATCAAATTGGGGGACACTCATCCTATACAATTTGTAAAACTCTTCATGGTCATGCAATTTAAAATAACAGAATAGAGTCGAAAATGCTCCGTAATCGTTTCTAATACATGTCTGAATGTGCGGTTTTACCCACCACCTTCGAAAATGCTTTTTTTTGTAGTTTATGTCATGCCGCAGTTTCAAAAGTCTTAAAAGTACAATAATGAGTTAAAATTTTCGGTTTCACATACTAAACAATCGCAAATTAATATATGCATATAAACAATCATTATAATTGTTTAGAGTGAATGTTACTCTTCTTTTGAAAGCATATAATTTGTTTTTTATATAATTTAAAACTGATGATTAAAACTGCCTATTAAAAAATAAGTAAATTAGAAGCGGGATTTAGTAATAAGCTTTAAAATTATTACTTCAAAACTACTTTTACTTAGTTTGGTTATAAAAAAATTAATAATTTACTTTTCAAACTGTATCAAAATTTTTAACAACTATGAGAATAGCTTATGCTAAGCAAATCATACTGTTAACACTATCCATTTACTTTTTACTTAAAAATTTATAGAAATTTATATCACTTTACTATTCTTAAACAACAATTTTAAATTTATCTCTAAAGGGCTATTCAATCTTTCCTTGTTGTCCTCCTTCATAATTAATAGCATCAATACATTCCTGATTCCACCAAAAAGGTTCTATAATACGAATATTGTTTACAAAAGTCATCTAATGTTATATAGGACAATGTATAGTGTTTTTAGGATATAATCAATGAATAATTTTTTATTAATATTAGAATATCAAGAAATAAATTAAGAATTCATTAACCCTCCGTCACACACCTAGGGAGGGATTTCCTCCCCGGTTTCAGTATTTTTTAAATAACTTTTGTCTTCCTTATTGCAAAATAAAATCAGTTTCTATACCTTTCGACGGTTCCCTCCTCAACACATTTCTAAAAAAACAATTAGTTTAAACATAATTAAATATCTTCATTTATGAGACTTCAAAGCTAATAAATCTCGAAAAAGTGAGGAAATTTTAAGTAAAATTCAAATTTTCAAAACATTTTTTGCTTTACTGTTGGTCGAAGAAAAAATTAAATTATAAATACAATTAAAATAAATTATTTAATGATTTTTTTGCTTATTTTTACATTATTTTTACATGTAAAGTGGAATTCCTTCGAAGATGTGCATTCGTGTAATTAATTTTTATTTTTGAGACCGAAAATTAATTTCATTAATTTTATGATTTTGGAATAATTTACTACATATTTGTAAGTTTGTATGAAATCAAGAAAGAAAATTGTTTACTCAGGGGTTTTTTGAGGTACTTAAATACAATTTCGATGACAGATTTTCAACCGTTTTCAAGTTTAAATTATATATTCAGGGTGTCTACCAGTCCTAGAATTTTTAGAAATGTCCTAGAATTTGAAAAAATGTCCTGGATCTTCAACTTTGGTTCTTGAATTTTCCATATTCTGCTTTTAAAAATTCAATAATTCAAAAGTTTGCTCAAACATAAAAAAATGTTTTTGATCTATCGAACAATAATTATAATTTGTCAGCAAATATTTAAAAAAATGTTATTGGATTAAATGACGTATAAACTATCGAAGAATATGTATATACTATTTTGTCAGAGAAAACTCAATAAACTACTTTTAACAAGATAATTTCAAATTTTAAACGTATTATAGTTTGTTGATAATTATTGGGGATCGAATTTTGATTGTCAGATTCAAGACAGATATTTTTGACTGTGGTAACCCCTTCTATGTGAGCGCTTCCAAACCTTTCAGATCCTTTTTGAATTAAGTCTAAGATCCTCTCTTCTACAAAGTAATTCACGTGATCCATTCTATTTTCAGATTTACCTAAAAAAAGAGCACAATTAATTCTTATATTAAAAAAATCGAAATACGTTGGTTGACTAATCAATAGGAGGATGAATGAATGCAATAGAAGAAATTTTATTAAAATAGTAGATATTGAAAATAATTGAAATTAAAAAAAATGTTGAAAATAATTGAAATTAGGACAAGAATTTTTTTACATAAGATAATTGAACTTTGGAGAAAAATTTTGTTATTTATAAAGATAATTGGGATTTTTAAGAGAATTTTTTACAAATTTTGAACATAGTTGAATTTTATTTTTTTTAAATAATTGAATTTCTGCAATTATTTGTAATTTCTCTAAAATTGTATTTTTAAGTGTTTTCAAAAAACTTTAAATTAGAAATTTTTAAATTCTATTATTTTTAAAATTGATAATTTTATTTAAAAAAGGCAGTAAGAAGTTAGTCGCCCGCTTTAGCGCGCGAATTGTTGGTAGTTCATATAAAATAATTGAAATTCTGCAATAAGATTTATTATTTATGAAAATAATTGAAATTCCTGAAAATAATTTTATTATTTATAAAAATAACTAGAATTCTTATAAAGAATTTTATTATTTATAAAAATAATTGAAATTCCTGAAAATAATTTTATTATTTATGAAAATAACTTGAATTCTTCTAAACATTTTTATTATTTATGAAAATAATTGAAATTTTTGAAAATAATTTTATTATTTATGAAAACAACTGGAATTCTCATAAAGAATTTTATTATTTATGAAAATAATTTAAATTTTGTGAAGAAATTTAAAATTTTTGTATAAAAATTGAAATAACCTCAAAAAGACATATTCTAAAAGAGTTGAAAATAAATTAAATTTAGCTCATTTTATTTAATAATTAATAATTTTTTAAATTTTGAAATAAAAAAGTAAATAATATTTACTACATCAAAAAATTTCAAGAACTGAACAGAAGTGAAAATAAAGATGAAAAAATAACCAAAATAGGTGTAGCAAGTGTCAAATTTAGAATTATATAATACTAAGAAAATATTAAACATTAAAAGTGTATAGTTGATAAGTAAAATATATATAAAGTTTATATAAAGTGTATAGTGTGCGATAGTTTAAGTAAAATTCTCACCTTCTTCTATTGTATCTTATATATATCCAACTATATTTTTGGTTATGGCCAACGTCAATCTTTTACATCTTTTACACTCTGTAATTTAATTCACTAATATAATATTACAATAATAAACAAAATTGCCATTATAATAGAAAAACACTTAACTCAACTTATTTAGTCTCTTGAAAATGAGTGTCACCATTCCTTTTTAATAATATACATATAATATGATGAAACTATCACTGGAGCACACTTTCATTTGAAACATTAGATTATGTTAATATATTTTCACATTTTCAATTTTGTACTAATGAAAAAGACACTTAATTAATTTCACTTGTGTATTTTTCTTATTCTATCAAATGTAACCTGTATTTTTCATTATTATGTATCATAAACTCTAAATGTAAATAAACTTCAGAGTGTGATGAGAACCAGACATTTCCCCTCCGTCAAGAAGTAGTGGTGGGGGGTCCGTTTAACGGATAGTTTCGCTTTTGGGCATGCATCTGGATTCAGCTTAAATCATTCAATCGGTAGTAGCGACGGACGGTGTGTACAAAGGGCAGGGACGTAATCAACGCGAGCTTATGACTCGCGCTTACTGGGAATTCCTCGTTCATGGGGAATAATTGCAAGCCCCAATCCCTAGCACGAAGGAGGTTCAGCGGGTTACCCGGGCCTTTCGGCCAGGGAAGACACGCTGATTCCTTCAGTGTAGCGCGCGTGCGGCCCGGAACATCTAAGGGCATCACAGACCTGTTATTGCTCAATCTCGTGCGGCTAGAAGCCGCCTGTCCCTCTAAGAAGATTTATTTGTACGTTGGTAGTAAAAACCCACCGACCGAAGCCGGGGGCCTTCAAGATACCATAAGGTACGCCTAATTAGCAGGCTAGAGTCTCGTTCGTTATCGGAATTAACCAGACAAATCGCTCCACCAACTAAGAACGGCCATGCACCACCACCCACCGAATCAAGAAAGAGCTCTCAATCTGTCAATCCTTCCGGTGTCCGGGCCTGGTGAGGTTTCCCGTGTTGAGTCAAATTAAGCCGCAGGCTCCACTCCTGGTGGTGCCCTTCAGTCAATTCCTTTAAGTTTCAGCTTGTGATCCTTGGTTGGTTTTTGGGCTGAGGGACCCGAATTTTGTGCGGACTTAGAGTATTTATTTATATTAGGCATTGTTCATGGTTTGTTTGTTTTAGTGGGTTTTAAAGTTCGAGTCATATCCATTGATAAGTGACCTTCGCATTCAGTGTTTTGGATCTATTGTTGCCTCCCTTCCAGTTCACTGTGGCCTTAAGCATCAGCAACTTGTCGCTTCCCATCCACCCCTCATTCAGAAGCCACTCTGAGGTGTACCGCAAGCGGCAGGACAACAGACATACTTTACACGTACTGCTACAGGGCAGCCAGGTACAGGTGGCTAGTCTGTCCCGGGCCCTGGTACTATTACGCGGCACAGGCTCGCACTACTCCCCTCATCCGAAGGGGAGTTCCTGTTTTTTGAAGGGTACCCTCACGCTCCAGTTGGGTGACAACGATCCTCACACCTTACGCTCACGTCAACCCATCCAGTTACAACCTTCACAAACTACTCAGTGCACC